AATATAATACGCCGAAGGGAAAAACGGGAGCTCCATTTCAAGTTTTCTGCAACGAGAGTGAAAGTAGGAAGGACATTTTAGTGGGAAAAACGGGAGCTCCATTTCAAGTTTTCTGCAACGAGAGTGAAAGTAGGAAGGACATTTTAGTCTTCACAATTACTTTTTTTTATTCATTAAAAAGACACGTACTGGGATTCGAACCATGACCATTTAAAAGAAAAACAAAGACCATAACCAATCACACTAAGTACATTTGTTGTATCTTTTTAAATTAAAAACATATAATAGCAGGGAGGGAAAAACCCTTTCCCCATTTCAAATTCCCTGCTCGAGGAGCGTTTGTAGGAAGGGTAGAATAGGGAGTGTCAATTTTTTTCTCTTTCCTCTGTGGAACGGGCCAACTTACTGTACACATGCGAATTTAAACGGGCCAGGAGTGTCAATTTTTTTCTTTAAACCTTTTTATTTCTCTGTGGTGATAAAATATATATGAAAAGGAGTTGAATGCATGGTATCTAATGAGCTAATCGCTAACCATAAAATAAAAGAGTTGAATGGGCCTGACCTACATGGGATTTGGCCATCAAGTGAAACAAATGAACATCATTGGTTTGCCATTCTAAAACAAGCTATTTTCTCTGGCATAATATATATTGTGCTATTATTCTATATCTTAGTGGCTAAAATATAATGTATTTTAGAGTTATTCCATGGTTTAACCTCGACCAACCCAATTAGTTCAATTTTTATCATTTCAAATATATATTTTATAATTATTTGATATCATAATGATCAAATTATAGTGTATTTTATAGGGAATCGTTTGGTATTTGTTAGTAAAAAACTAAACATAAAAGATCTATTTAGTTATTTTAAACATTAAAACGATCCTAACTATTTTTAGTTCTTTTTGAATTTCTATGGTTTTATTCTCGAATAAGTGATGTGAAAATGGCGAATCGTAGTCGTCTCTTTTCTTTCACTATTTTTTATTTTCAAATAGAAAGTTTAAAAGTAAAGAATAATTAGAATTTGGCATGGGTTGGTCAAACAGGCTGAATTTCAAGTTTTGGCCCGTTTGTTTTATGCATTGCAAATTTATTAGCATGTTGATGGAAATGGCTTGGAAAAAGACATATAAGTTGTACCTTTGCAGAAATGTCCTCAAATGTTTGAATGCTTTGTGAATCACTTTTCGTGAATTTTGTGATGGTGTATGTGCTTGACGATTGCGATGTTGTAACAGCTTAATTTGAGAGTAAATCTTTTGATTTTCCCTATGAGTTGTGATACCAGTTCTGGTGGTTGCAACATGTTGTCGTTGTTGGCCTGTAAAAGTTGTTCCGCCGTGATGCTAAATACCTTTCTTTCTTTTTTATCAAATTGTGTAGTAGTGCTATGAAACAGACCACCCATGAACGCGACGCTTATTATGGTCTGTTCTTACTTCCGGTGGTGAGAAATTGTGAATTGAGAATCATATTCGCCTACCGCACTATGTCTGGCTGGTGGTTGCTTACTGTGCTCTCTAGAGTTATGAAACAGACTACCCATGAACGTTACCCTTAAGAGTCCATAACTTTGCGAAAAACCAAATTTAGGCAATCAAAGGTGGTGGATGTGTGATGATTTTTTATGGCTTAATTGTTTGTGAATTGGATATCTGATCTTTGTATGATTAGAGGGGATGTTTGCTTAATAGAATAATCTATTTTAATTCATGTTTATTTTTAACATGAACTTTAGTAACTCAAAACTTTCGAGACACATATCACCTACTGCATTGTATCATTTTTCCTGGGTGCTTGTTGTGTTGTCAAACTTCTTTGCTGATGCTGCTTTTATACTAACAGGGGAGTTAAGAACCCATGAATGTTTCCGTTTGACACAAACAGGAGGACTTGCTTCTAAATCGTGCACTAAAGATGATTGGAGGAAACATTTCTGTTGCAGTTGATATACTGCAGACCAGAACAAAAGCAATGTATAACATCAAAACCAACCATATGAACTATTAGCATTGTTGTTTTACTATTTTTTCGTGGTTGAGTCTCCTTCAAAACATTTAGTTTGATTTTATAAAATTTTGCTTCTGCAGTCCTGTCTTGCCACCAACGCGTTCAGTAGATGGAGATGGCAGAGGCGAAGCCTATTTTTGTGTTGTTGTTGCTGGTTTAGGGATCGGTTTGTGAAGAAGAGGGAGAAGAGAGGGGGAAAGGGAAATGCAGGAGAGGGGGGTAACTCTTTTCTCCGACAAAAATGGAGTGAAGAAAGGAATTATGATCAATAAGAATATGGTTATCTCACATAACGGTCTCTATTCTGTTTGAATTGAGCTTGGGAGGCAGTGATTAGGACGAGCTGCAACCAATTCATAGTGAGAAGAGAGCTATGAACTGTGATCATGTCTTATTTCAAGTTAGAAGGTAGTTTCAGTATAAGGATTATTTAATTTGACAAGTTGCTTCGTCCATGATTCTTGGTAGTTTCAGTGTCATTCTAGCCATTGTTTAGTCTGTAATTTTTGAGAATTGATGTGCGAGTAATGACTTTCGCTTAGCTTCAACTATTATGTGTGTATTTATTGGCATGTGATAGAAATCTCTTTTCCTTTTCTTTGAATTCAGTTTCATACTCTAATTGTATCATTTGTACATAGGCAAATCATGCTCGAGATGACAACTCGCTAATATGGCTGGTGCAAGGAACGAAGCCATCATTAGAATTCAGACCGACAACGGGGAGGGATGCCCAGGACTAATTCAATGATGATTGATGATGGTATAATAAAGACTGTAGTCTGCATCAGCACCAATTTCTAGGCCTAAGTAAAGTTATTCAACCCAGAACTCTGCTTAGCGCTAAAAATTTCCCTCACCCAACCTTGATCCTGTTTGACCCACTTCTGAAGAGTCAAGATATATGACTAATCCTCTCCGTTCGTATTTTCTTATTGACTCTTTTCGACCCTTTAGGTTAGGACGGGTCGGGAGGAATCGGATTAGTGGGTCGGTCCTAATCAAGTGGAATCCCAATCCCTTGACTCTCACTTGCTTTCTCTCCCATTCCACAAGTGGGTAGCATACAGTAATCCGGCCAACGGGCCGGGTAATAAGCTAGTATCATTAATATAAATCCAATAAATAGACATTGCATTTTTAGAAGTTTAGAATGTTCACTTTGCTATTAGTCGACAAGGTGACCAACTGATCATCAATATGAGGTCTACACCGTAATCTGTCCGTGTCAGGTTTTACTAGCGGCAAGTAAATGTACTATGTGAGCCATATATCAATTGCCATTAACTTGTTAAACTCAATAAATAAAACATGGGCATATATATTAAGTTGTTAAGTAAGCGCCTGTAGCTCAGTGGATAGAGCGTCTGTTTCCTAAGCAGAAGGTCGAAGGTTCGACCCCTTCCTGGCGCGATACATTAGTACAAATATTTTTGTGGTAATTTTTATTCTGGTTCCTAAGCAGAAGGTCGAAGGTTCGACCCCTTCCTGGCGCGATACGTTAGTATAAATATATTTGTGGTAATTTTTATACTGATATTTTTGTGGTAATTTTTATTCTGGTTCCTAAGCAGAAGGTCGAAGGTTCGACCCCTTCCTGGCGCGATACGTTAGTATAAATATATTTGTGGTAATTTTTATACTGATATTTTTGTTATTAATTTTTTTAAGGATTAATATATTTGTATGACCTGATTTTTTCACATATTAAACATTGTGGCAATCTTTTCGATCTATAGTTCGTGGCCTTAACTATCCATCAAAGTTATGAAATTGGCCAAATTCGAAATTCAATCTATAGTTTTGTGGCTTAACTATCCATCAAAGTTATGAAACTGGCCAAATCCGAAATTTGATATATAGTTTCGTGGCCTTATCTATCTATCAAAATTATGAAATTGGTCAAAACCTTCCTGACGCGAGATTTTTATATTTATTTTTTGTTATTGATTTTTTAAGGGTTAATATATTTGTATGACCTGATCTTTTCACATATTAGACATTGTGGCAATCTTTTCGATCTATAGTTTCGTGGCCTTAACTATCCATCAAAGTTATGAAATTTGCCAAATTCGAGATTCGATCTATAGCTTCGTGGCCTTAACTATCCATGTCACTGTCAAGTCAAAACAGACCACTTAAATTTTTTGAATTGGTAACTTACAATCTATAGCCTCGTGGCCTTAACTATCTATCAAAATTATGAAATTGGTCAAACCCTTCCTGGCGCGAGATTTTTATACTAATATTTTTGTTGTTCATTTTTTAAAGGGTTAATATATTTGTATGTCCTGATCTTTTCACATATTAAACATTATGAAAAAAAATTCGATCTATAGTTTCGTGGCCTTAACTCTGCATCAAAGTTATGAAATTGGATAAACCCGAGATTTGACCGTTATCTTGGACGGTCAACGCGCCACGTTACTGTCAAGGCAACACATACCACTTAATTTTTTTTTATTTTTTTCAATTCCTTTTCATTCTTTTGTTCAAAATAAAAAAGATAAATGGTTAGTCAACATGTCACGTCATTAGCAAGTTAGCACATACCACTTAAATTGTTTCACTTTTTTAATTTCTTTTCATTTTTTTCTTCTTTTATTCAAAATAAAAAAATAAATGCAATATGTGAAAAAATCAAGAATTTTAAGTGGTATGTACTAATTTGGTAGTGACATGAAGCGTTAACTGTTAGTTAAAGTGTTAAAACATCCAAGATAAATGTCAAATCTTGAATTTGGCTAATTTCGTAACTTTGTATAATTAAGATCACAAAGTTATAGATAGTAAAAATTTGAACAATGTGTAAATTTCATACATACAAATATTTTAACCTTTCTTTAAACCTTTGAAAACTCTTTTTCCCAATTCTACTGCGATTCCAAAATTATGTTACCATTCCAGCGAACTCGGTCAAAATCCCTAACTCAATTCCCTCCTTAACTCTCCGACCAAGCCCACCGGACTCAACAGCCAGCCATGTCCATCCTCGGCGACGACGGTCGTGGCTTCGAGCTGGCCACCAAGCTGGAGTCCCTCGGGGTATGGCGGACGTGGTTCGGCGACCCTCTCTACTCCACCTTCGTCCATTTCCTTTCTTCTCCTTCCTCCTGGGAATCCTTCATGCGGGCCGACGAGCTCAAGTCCAAAGCTCAGATCCAACTCCAGCTCCGCGCCCGTGCTCTTCTCTTCGATAAAGCTAGCGTCACCCTCTTTCTTCACTCCACTATCAACCCTTCCCCTGCCGCTACTTCCGCAGCGGTCTCCAAGCTTAATCCGACTTGTGAGATTTCAATTCAACTTCCGCTTTCGGCTTCACTGTACTCCTTCCGTAGTGCAAGTTGAATTGTTTACCAATTTCTTCGAATTTTTTCTTAGACTTGCAGTTGCATGGCGACGATGTCTACTACACTCTAGAGGATGTGGATCAGCGGCGAGATGGTAGCGGCGCTGTTGGGCCTGTTATGGCGTCATCCAGGGTACGTGAAGAACTATTTACTCCGGCCTGAATTGTAGTTTTAAGTTACAAATACTAGGAAACTTTGTAGCAGCTGTGACGGAGATTTTAAATTTTCTGAAGTGAACTTGAGATTAGTGAACTAGGTTCACACCTTTAGTTAATGGCTGAAATCTTGAGAGTTCGCTGCAGGTCTGTTTGAGGGGAGTGATGAAATAGAAATGATGATTCTTATAGACCTTGCTATCGGCACCATCTGCTAGGGTCTGGGATCTCATTACTGACTTCACAATAAGACGGTTATAAGTTTTGATATTTAGAGATTTTAAGCAAGGGAAGAATGTCAGACTCTTTAAGCTATTGTATTAGTTAGCAAAAAGTTTCGAACTTTGTGTTCCTACTGTGAATTCCATCGAGCTAATGCTTATGTAACTTGAGAATTGTTAATCTCTGCAACATTTCTCTGTAAGAACCAATCATTTTGTTTCTGTAACTCAAATCTTTAGCTAAGCTTATTCTTTTGATTGATCTGCAGAGTCATTCTAAATCTTCTGTTACTACCGGATTAAGATATGGTGATCTTGACATGGATAATGTCTCACAGAGGTTCAGAAATGATGAGTTGCCAGAAACTTGGTATAGCCAGTTTATAGAAAAGCATAAAACTAACAGGTTATTTAAGATCCCGTTTGGGGAGAGAGAGCCAGAAAAACGTTCTCCTGAAGACATGTCTAATTATGTTAAGCTTCGGGATAAGCATAAAAGAAGCCGTGTTATGTTTAAGCAGGGCCAGTACTCGGGGCTTGGAAATTCTGTCTTGGAAAGCACATCAAGCAAGCATCCCGACTCTCGTTTAGATGGCCGAAGCTCAGTAGATGATGATGTTTCCTTCTTTCCTGAAGTAATGTTTATGTCGAATTGTGTGCCTGATAGTGCACTCCCTCCAATAGTTAGAGTGCAAGACAATAACAAGATTGAGTTCCGTGGGGTTCTTGACTCATTGCCGCAGACCAGGAATGCTGTAATGATTGAGAGACTCGGTATTAGTGTTGAACAGGGAGGAAGCTCACATCGTAGGAAAAATGGTTCTGACGGGAATAGGAAAATGCTTAGTCAAGACCAAGCACAGCAGATTTCTTCAAAGGTTGTTGCCCGCATGTTGACCAGAGTGGGATTTGATGGTGCAATGGAAGTTCCAGTGGACGTCTTGTCTCAACTGCTTGGGTGTCATATGAGTAAACTAGGCCACACTTTGAAAGTTCTTGCTGATAGTTATAGGAAACAGTGTTCAGCAGTTGAGCTACTAAAGATGTTTCTTCAAACTTTGGGTCACAGGTGGGCATATGAGTTAGAGTTCCTCTCTCTTTCCTGTCCTGCTATTTTTTTTTGGCTAGGTGCAATTATTGCTCGAAAACTGCTTCTATGTGTATTTGGGGCAATCTCTATTGGTAGAAAATGAAGAGCACTACTGATGTTGTTAATGTTTCTGTTCTTGAGCTTGTCTTCACGTGGAGTCTGTGTTTTGCCTTTTCCTGGACTTTTCTGTTTGATATTCTTATTTTGCATTTGGTGCGATGAAATTCTGTTGCTGTTCTCATGTGCTTTCTTGTCTCTTCTTAGTAACCTTGGACCTTTGATGGAGCTCATCAAGGATGGCAGTAGGAATGTCACCCAGCAAACTCAGCCGCAAGTACATGGAATGCAGCCACAGATGCAGGCCCAGCACCAAAATCCTCATCGATTGCCTCAACAAGTATGCAATTACCATTTTCTTTGGTTCGAAACCATTTTACCTTCTCATGACTCAGTGTTAGCATGGGTTCAGTACTTGATATTTGGTTCAAAGTCATTTCTCAGCACCCCAACCACGTGATCTCAATTTCCTGACACTTAAACGAACAAGGGCTTGCTATAGTGGTAATACCACTAGCCTTGAACTTGGAGGTTCCAGATTTGAATCCCTTAAGTAGTACCTAAACAACCAAAAGTAAACCTGTATCACCCTTATCCAAAAAAAAAAAAAAAAATGCCTGACACTTAAACGAAGGTGGCTATCGAAGAATGTTGTGGTTTCTGCATAGAAAATCTAATACTGACTGGTCAGTGATTCAGCAATGACCATGTGGTTTCTAGCAGTTCAAAGTTGTCTATGGAGAAATGTGTTCCAAATCTGGATATTCAAGATACTTGAAATGAGATCCTACGAGGCTGTGGGCTATATGATAGCGTGAAACTTGTCATTGGCTTTCCGTCCTGAGTGAGAAAAAAAAAATATTTGCCTGACACTTAAACGAAGGTGGCTATCGAAGAATGTTGTGGTCTCTGCATTGAAAATCTAATACTGACTGGTCAGTGATTCAGCAATGACCATGTGGTTTCTACCAGTTCAAAGTTGTCTTTGGAGAAATGCGTTCCAAATCTGGATATTCAAGATATTTGAAATGAGATCCTTCAAGGCTGTGCGCTATATGATAGCGTGAAACTTGTCATTGGCTTTCTGTTCTGAGCAAGATATGGTGAAAACTGAGAAAACTCTTATTTGTACCTAGGACCTTTTTCCAGGTTTAGAGTTGTGGAGATGCTTGTTATCTAGTCTGTGTAATGTGTTGGCATCAAACCTTGGACCCTTTTCTACTTTTGTCATAACTGACAGTTGACTCCAATTTTTTTGTGTTTGAAGTTACAGATGTTAAGACAAGCACACCCACAGATGCAACAAATGATGCATCCTCAAGGTTTGACTTTCCAGCAACAGCAACAGTTGGAGAGGATGCGTAGGCGCCAACAACAAACTGCTCCTCGCCCCACTATGGATATGGTGGAGAAGGAGAGACCCCCCATGGCGCAAGTCAAGATTGAAAGCGCACCAGATTTGCCATTGGATAATAATATCAATGCGTTCAATAATAATGCCATGCATGCCAGACATCATCCGCAGATGCAGCAGCTCCGGCAGCAGCAACTGGCTGCAATGTCGAATCTCCATGCTCAGACTGGCAGCAATCAGCTCAGGCAGTTCACGTCATTGCAAGTTCCTCAGATACAATCACCACCGTAAGTAACATCTTGGGTTTATTCTGTTTTGGCTTTTGCTCAAAACAAGTGGCTTCTTTTTTTCCATAAAATTATAAGTAGAAGAAGAAAGAAGTGTACGGTCAAAGGTTTTAGAAAGAGTAGCAGTTGCTGGCTTGATTGATGCAAATGCGAGGTACTTTTAGTAATGGAAAATATATTCATGATTTGATAACTAAGTTTGTTGAGTAATAAAGAAGCGAGTGACTTTTGAGAAATGACTATTGTCAGTTTAACTTATTTTGAAGGGGTAAAATTGGATTTTGAAGTGGTAGTAGTGAGGTTGGCTTCTATATTTTAGTAACTTGGATGGTTGAAAGTGAACAGTTGTTTCCAAAGTTAGCTGACAAAACACAAGAGTGTGTTTGTTGTAGCTCTTAAGTTCACTGATATGTTTCAGCCAAAACCGAAGCATCCCTTGCCACATTTGGAAGGGTTCATTTCTCCCTTTGTGTTCTGTGACTTAAACATATGGAACGTGTATGTGGTGTCAGGAACATGGGAATTGTTAGGGCTCCTCCGGTGAAGGTGGAAGGTTTCCAGGAGTTGATGGGAGGCGATGGCACATCGAAACATGACTCAGAAGATGGCAACAAGCTAACTTCTCCTTCCAAGTGAATCGAGCTTACTCTCGGCCGGGCATGTAGTGAAATTGTAAAAGCATTGTACACTTGCTGCGCAGCCTATCTTTCTAACTCGCCACTGGTATTGGAGTTCAGCTAATAGCCTAGTCGTACTTCAATGTTGTATGGGAAGTAATTCCATCAGATTTTGGTTTCTGCACATTAGTCCTGGCGTTATGGTACATGATTTAGTATTGTTGAAGCTAAGTTGCCATGGATAAATGGCTGCTGTGACTAGGATAACTTCTTTGGGAGCGGTTTATTTGCAGAGCTGATGATGATCACAGTTAAGGGAGAGTTGTTATAGTAATGCGGTAAATGCAACTTTGGAACTATCCAATCACCGCTAGCTTAGCTTCTTTTGTCGTCAATCAAATTTTCTATGGTGAGTTGGTCACTTTATGGCCGTCCACATCATCATATTCGACTGCTGACTGCTGACATATAGTATACTTAAGTAGGGGAAAAAATCTCACTGTACACACGTTCTTAAAAAAAATTCCCAAAATACATGAGTTGTAAAAAAATTTCCCAAAGTACACATGTTTGAGCATCACCGTTTTAGACAAAAGCGATGAAGGTCATCACCGCGTTTGACGAACACGGTGAATACTTCATCGTCTTAAACAAAAACGGTGAAGTATTCACCGTTTCAAACTAAAACGGTTAAGTTTTCACCGCGTTAATTAACAACGGTGAACACATCACCGTTTTGGTCAAAAACGGTGAACCCATTCATCGTTGTTAAGTAACGCGGTGATCATTTCCCACGTTTCCCACCCCTGGTAGGTCAAAATTAGGTCGCAGCTACCACCTATTCACCGTTTGAGACAAACGCGGTGATGGTGTTCACCGTTTTCGACAAAAACGGTGAATAGTAGGCAGATTTTCCTATAAATTGCACACCACCAGCAGTTGTAAAAACATAACCACTCCCCTTTCTTCAAATTTCAGCAGCCAAAATCGAGCATAATACACAGAACAGAAATTTTTCGGTATGTTGAGACTTTTCGTATTATAGTCTAATTATGTTTTTAGTAGTTATAGTATGATTTAATTTTCGTATTATGCTGTTGTTAGTTAGTTGAACTTATGTTCGTTAGTTATAGTATGATTTAATTTTCGTATTATGTTGTTGTTAGTTAGTTGAATTTATTTTCGTTAGTTATGGTATGATTTAATATTAGTTGTACAATATGATTTTGGTTAATTTTACTGTCTTTAAGCTAATAGATACTTATTGTAAATTGTAGATATGGGTAAATTCAAGAAGTTTCATCTTACTATTCGGTGGAATGGAAGGGTGACAAACTCTGACATAGGCATTGATTATGAGGACGGCGAATCCATTATGCTGAAAATTGATTCCCGATTCAATTTTCAAGAACTCTGTGATCTTTGTGCAGAAAGGGTTTGTACGAGCGGACAGACGAGACTTGGCAAAATTACTTACCGGTATCCAGACATGAGTGCTGGCGGGGTCGTGTTCCAAGAAGTTGTCATAAACGATGATGACGCGGTTATGATGATGTTACAGTTCCTAAGCGATAACCAAGTCCGGCTTGCAGAGGTGTATGTTGAGACCGAGGCGGTCGGTGAATCTCATTCTCACTAGTATTCTTATGATGATGGTTTTGCAGGAGGGTACGAATGGGGTGGTAGTTCGAGCAACTACCAAGGCGGTGGTTATACAGGAGGTTATGGGGAGGGTGGTGGTTCAATCAACTACGGTGGATCGAGTAGTGCAGGATGGGACAAATACTCGCAACCTCCTAAACCAGCCCCATTTGTTGAGGCCGATGGTGTTCAATGGCCTGCTTGGGGGCCAGAGTGGTATGGAATCGAGAATACCATTCGATCAGGGCGTACTTCACATGAGCGAGAGGACGATGTTGGTGATCGTGGTCATGTTGATCCTTCTAGCCCGAGCTATCCATTCGAGTCGAGCGACGAGGATACTGAGGAAGATTTGATATCAGTGAGCGAGGAGGAGGAAGATACTGATGATAACAAGGATGAGGCGGCATTTCGTGAGGCACCCACGCCATATTACACACAGGTTCCAACTCAATTTTTACATAGTCAGAATGATCCCCCCGACTTTGTCCCTATGCCAGTGTACAATCCGACGGCCAATTTGGAGGTGGGTATGGCGTTCACATCGAAAGACGCTGTGCATGATGCTTTTACAGAAGAGGCGTTGAGGCGCAATTTCGAGTGGAAGGTAAAATATTCTGACAGTAAACAACTACATGTCATATGCAAGCATGATGCAGAGGGTTGTACGTGGCAACTGCGGGCTGCAAATATGAAGAGAAAGGGTGCTTGGGTGATTCGCAAAGCTGAGACGATCCACACATGCTCCTCTTCTATACTTTCCCAAGATCACAGGCAACTAAAAGCAAAGAAGGTTGGGAGAACTATTAAGCACCTTATAGAAGCACAACCAGATATCAAAGTGAAAGCTATCATGGCAGAGGTGAAGGATCGACATTCTTACACGATAAGGTACAAAAAAGCATGGCATGGTAAGCAGAAAGCCATGGCTGAGGTGTATGGTGATTGGGAGGATTCGTATGCTTTACTCCCTAGACTTATGGGAGCAATGGAGGAGTCCAATCCTGGGACTGTTTTCGTCCCAGTATACAACAATGTATACACTGAGGATCAAGTTCGAGTACAGGATAAGCTAATGTTCCATCGTCTTTTTTGGGCTTTTAAACCATGCATTGACGGTTTTGGGTTCTGCATACCGGTTATTCAGGTATTTTACCAACTAGTTCCGGTTTTAAATGTTGTATTATTTGCTGTTAAGTATATTTCATACTAATTATATCCTAAATTTTTATTCAGGTTGACGGAACTTTCCTTACTGGGAAGTACAGAGGATGTCTTCTAATTGCCACTGGCGTTGATGGAAACAGGCGGATTTTCCCGCTTGCATTTGCATTAGTGGAAGGGGAGAACAGCTTAAGTTGGGCTTGGTTCTTTGACCAACTGCACGAACACGTGACACAGCGGGAAGATATTACGATTATATCCGATCGACATGCGGGGATAAGGAATGCTGTTGGTGGTTTTCCCGACGAGTGGGGGTGGAGATGGAGATGGTGTATTCGACACTGGCTTGCCAATTTCCAACACAAATTTGGGAAGAAGAAAGACATCAAAAATCTACTTTGGAATGCAGGTACTAATGTTTTTCTTATGCGATTTAAGTTTGTGTTTATTAAGCTGATAAGCTGATGTTATTCATCATGTATTGACCAGTTAGTCTTTTGTTCACCTTTTAGCGGTTGCACATCAACCAAAAAAGTACGAGCAGAAGATGAAAACGATCCGTCAGACCCACCGAGCTGGAGCAGTATGGGCTGAAGGTCAAGAGTTGCCCATGTGGACGTTCCATATGGACAACGGGGCCAGATGGGGCATTGCAACTACCAACCATGGAGAAAGTATAAATAATGTGTACAAGGGTCTTCGAGCGATGCCTATTTCTGTCATCGTGGAAATGTCTTATTGGAAGGTCAACGAGTGGCGAGTTGCTCGGCTACAGCTAGCTATAGGGAGGGAGTTGCAAGGTCATTCAGTAGCACATGACGTATTCGCTCAAATGCAGAAGAACGATGAAAAATCAAGTAAGCATAAGGTTGTTCTTTTTAACCGCAGTGAAGGAATATTCGCTGTCGAAACAGGTATATGGGGTGGAGGGAGACGTGGTCACAATCGTCAAACGTTTAAATTGCACTACGAATTAGGGGAGTGTTCTTGTCAAAAGTATCAGAACGAAAGGATACCCTGTTCACATGCAATGGCGGTTGCTAAGTCAATAACCATGAACAGAAACAGCCTGGTGAGTCCTTACTACACTGAACAAGCGATACGGAACTCATATAATGCAGCTTTGAGCCCCATGCCAGATGAAGCGTATTGGCCTATATACGCTGGAAAGTTGATTATCCCACCGTTGCACCTAAAACGCACCAAAGGCCGTCCTAGAGTTGAAAGGATACACAATGAGATGGATCAAGTTGAACGGACGAGAAGGGGACCGAAGCGATGCTCTAAGTGCAGACAACCTGGTCACGACAAGAGGCGTTGCCCAGGACAACCATCAACTTAATTTGCATTTACTTGTATTCTGCTACTAAATTGATCGCTTGTTTAATTTTTCATTACCGTTTGCATTTGAAGTCCAAGTATTTTGTTAACTCTAAAATGTTTTCCTTGTCGATACGATCGCGCTGCCGCAAACGGCTCGTTATTTCGACCTCAAACGAATAAGATACGCGCGTTTTAGTTTTTAGTACGCAATAGTTACTTTAACGATACGATCGCGCTTTGACGTCACTTATCTCACTCGTTTGGACTCGGAATTGGGATCTGTAAAATTCTATGCGATCGTGGTTGATTTTCCCAACTTTTTCGTGTTGAGGAAAGATACGGATTCTTGATAAAATGATCCAGAAAATTCATTCGACAACTTAAGTGCGTAGGATAGTTTTTAGACAATGCAAACTCAAATAACAACACCTAAAAAGCACCAAAACAACATGGATAGATCACTACTGCAGGATAAAACGATAAATTCACTCATTTGCTTCATTTTGGCCCCCATCTCCACCTCTTCCTCCTCGTCCTCCACGACGTCCTCGACCCCTTCTTCCCCCCTCCGCCGCTGCTTCTTGGCGGGCTCGCTCAACGGCTGGTCGCGGATTTCTCTTGACCCGAGCCCCAACTGGGGTTACATATGTTGGTGGTGGTGGTTGAGATGGAGCGGTAGCTTGGCGAATGATCGGAGGTTGCGGAGTTTGTTGTTGCGGCCTCTGATACATCGAACTCTATTGCTGATGTTGGAATTGAGAGAACCCATGAGAGAAAGTGTCCCACTCCTGAGATGCTCCACGACTCGATGACCCTCCACCGGCTTCCGCTGTAGGTGCCCACTGGTACTCGAACGGTTCAGGGATCTCGGTTTCTTGAGTTGTACGCACC